CTGATACCAGTGGAACTAGCAAACACATTCTATTGGTGATTCTGTCACTGTTGTATCTTTGCACCACTTTTCAGAACACAACACAATTCTTATTATACATAACCTCAACGTCTGTGACATCCCTTTCACACAGGCTCCATGTTGCTTAGCATGTCCATCCCTGCACCTGTAAAGCAGTCCAGACTGGAGGGACAGGTAAAACAATCAGTGTAAATGTATCTGTTGACAGGTTAAATACACCTCTTTAAGTCATTTATGTTTTAATTACCATCTATGTCAAGAGTAGGCATACTTTTAGTACTGTGCCAAAACGAGTTCTTGAAGTCTCTTGTTGTGCCATTCCTATTTTTTTTTTAAATTGAGACGTGTTTATTGCCGTTTTGTGCTTGTGTTATTTATAGGTGCTGCAGTTGCTTTCTAGCATTGTATTTGTGATAGGCATGTGCATGGGAACATTTTTTGGTTTAGTTCGGCATTCTGAAATTCGGGACTTCGGCACTTCGGTAACTTCAGCCCTTCGGAACTTCAGAATTTCGGAACTTCTCTTGCAGCCGCTTGGTAGATAACTCCCTAATACCCACGGTATTAGGGAGTTATCTACCAAAAGGCTGAAAGACCTAAATGTGTCTTTCAGCCAAATTTACTAATACTAAGTAAAGATTACTTAGTATTAGTAAATTATGCCCCTACTCGCTATACCGCGAGTAGGGGCATGTCTAGTAAACAGTGAGCAGCCTGTGGCTGCTCACTGTTAAAAAAAAGAATAATAAAAAAAGGGGTCCCTCCTCCCGAGCCCACACCCACGACGCACGAGTGGGGGCTTTTAAACTAAGGGGGGGCCTACTGCTGCTCCCCCCCGGCCTCCACCCCTGAGCTGCGGGTGGGTCCTTAAAGTAAATAATGGGGGGGACCTATTGTCCTCCCCCCCGACCCCCACCCCTGAGTGGTGGGTGGGGGCCCTAAATTAGAATGAGGGGGGGACCTAATGTCCTCCCCCCTGGGCCCCACCCCTGTGCGGTGGGTGGGGGCCTAAATGCTAATTATGGGGGACCTAATGTCCTTCCCCCTGGCCCCCACCCCTGAGTGGTGGGTGGGGGCCCTAAATTAGAATGAGGGGGAGGGACCTAATGTCCTCTCCCCTGGCCCCCACCCCTGAGTGAGGACATTAGGTACCCCCCTCATTCCAATTTAGGGCCCCCACCCACCGCTCAGGGGTGGGTGCCAGGGGGAGGACATTAGGTTCCCCCCCAATTAGTATTTAGGGCCCCCACCTACCTCTCAGGGGTGGGGGCCAGGGGAGAGGACATTAGGTCCATTAGTGTTAAGAGTCTCCAATATGCAATCCTGAGATGCTGGACATGAATGAACTTGATGTCGGTAATTTAGCAATAGATAAGCAGAGAGTTAGGTGCCGACACCAATAATGTGTCAGTAAGTGTCCAGAGCCCCTGACGTGCACGTTTCGCCAGTGAAGCTCATCAGAGGGGCAAATATATAAAATATACTCACAAGAGTAGAGCAGGAGGTACTGGTCTATCAATACAGCATTGGTGGAATGATTGGTGGAATGATCCCCACCTAGGATTTCTTGAGTCAGGATACAAAAGGTGCCAGGAAGAGAAATTATAAAAAAGCGCATTTAAATCTAATAAAATGAAAATTGGTCCTTATAAAAGGGATAACCAAAAGACTTTTATTGTTTAAAATGCACAATTAAAACCCTTTTAATTGACACATACACACAGATACACAGACACATATAGTGACAGACATACCTATACATACACATACAGACAGACACATACTAACACACACAGACATACTGAAAGACATACTGACACATTCACTGACACACACATACACTGACATACAGACACATGCAGACATACTGAAACAGACATGTGCACACACACACACACACACACACACTGACTGCCATACCGGCCCACAGACATACCGACAAGCATATATACTGACACACATTCACAGACGCACACACAGACATACTGGCACACACACACTGACAGCCATACTGACAGACACACATATACTGACAGACATTGAGATACATTCACTGACACACACACACTGACAGACAAACTGACACACACACTGGCAGACATACCGACATACAGACATATACTGACAGACATTCACAGACACACACACACACACACACACACACACACAACCTGACAGACATACTGAAACACACAAACTGACAGACATACTGACACGCACAGACATATACTGACATACATTCACAGACACACACGAACTGAAAGACACACGTAAAATGTAAACTTTTAAACCCACCCTCCATTTTCCTACCTAGGAGAGTTGTGGCTGGTGGCTGAAGCTGCTGGGAGATGGGGTCTGACTCTCCCGGCCTGACCACCCTCTCTCTGCCTCCTCCATCTTTCCCGCGCGGCTCATCTCTTTGTGGGAGGAAGTGACTTGCGGGCGTAATTTTCTCCCAAAAGCAGGAGGGCCTGGTTGCGCTGTTAAAGCGCCACAGCGCATGCCTGGGCCCCTGCTAACACAAGCCGACCGGGTGACCCTTGCATGGGCCATCCGGTGGGCCTCCTTAGTGTGCAGGACCCCGGCAGCACTGGCGGGCCTATGGAGGGGGAAAAGAAATGGTAGAGGGCAGCGGGGCCCCCTTTAAACCCTTTCGCTGCTGATCACAGTGCTACTGCCGTGATCACTGTGCTACTGCCGTGACCACTGTGATCAGAACAGCAGTACTACTTTTTTATTAGTCAGATTTTTTTACTTTTTGTTTAAATGTAACCATTTTGAAGGGGTAAATACTATTTTAACATGTTCAGAGGGTGACACAGGTGAGATGACTGATATTGGCACGCTAAGAGCCTCTTACATACCGGTAGAGCCCCTTAGTGAGGCTTCTAGTAATAGCGCTCCCAGCGAATCACCATAAACAAAGAGGTGCTCAGAATGCCCCACTGTGTCTGAGGAACGCTTGGTGCCCTCAAACTTAGCTGCATTGGGGTTTAAGGATACCCATTTTTGGCATCAGTGTTTAAGTTTTTGAGTGAGTCTGTGAGCATATGGCTACGCAAAGCAATTTATATGCCAGCCAGAGAAGTCTTTAACATGAGGCAAATGGGGCAGCTGCCCCAGGTCCAGTGACTTCAGGGGGCCAAAAGTAGCTGCCCCGTGGGCCACGCTGCCCTCAAGAATCTCCCCCCCCCATTCTGTGGGGCCCACAGGGCCATCTTTAACTTGGGGCAAATGGGGCATCTGACACAGGCCCAGTGACTTTAGGGGGCCCAAAGCAGCTGCCCCTGTGGGCCCCGCTGCCCGGTATGTCTGTCAGTGTATTTGTGTGTGTTAGTATGTCTGTCAGTGTATGTATCAGTATGTCTGTCAGTGTATGTGTCTGTGTTCATATGTCTGACAGTATATGTATCTGTGTATATGTATGTGTGTGCATCTTTATGTGTGTATCGGTAGTATCTGTATGTAGTCAGTGTGTATACCAGTGTGTCTGAGCATCTGCATGTGTGTTCAGGTTGTGTATCTGTTTGTCTGTATCTGCAAGTGTGTCAGTGTGTGTATCTGTGTATCTGCATGTGTTTCAGTGTGTATCTGTGTGTATGTGTATTACAGTGTATGTGAGGCAGTGTATGTGCATATGTGCATACATCTCAGCATTGATACACCAACACTACATACAAATACACCACTGCATTCAAACTTCAATTCTACCTACAAACACACTCCTGCACTGAAACATCAACACAACATACAAACACACAAATTTTGGTGTTAAAGGGACACTATAGTCACCTGAAAAACTTTAGCTTAATGAAGCAGTTTTGGTGTATAGAACATGCCCCTGCAGCCTCACTGCTCAAACCTCTGCCATTTAGGAGTTAAATCCCTTTGTTTATGAACCCTAGTCACACCTCCCTAGTCACACAGGGGGCCGAAGTAAATGCTTGCCCAGGGTCTACTCAATATTAAACACGGCCCTGATGCCAGCCAATGTCTCTGTGCAAACTCTGAATCTCAACACAAGAAAAATAACACCCGGCACCCTAGTGACCTCACTGAAAGGAAAACATTTTGGATACAGATGATGCTTATTAGGATTGTAATTATATCAAGCATTCACGATTCCTGGCACAAGCACCCCATCCTAGCTATGCCTGTTCTTCCAGTGATTACAAAGATGGATAGATATGAGCAACGTCTCATTTTAATAACAGCACTGAGTGTCCCTTAACCCCTTAAGGACACATGACATGTGTGACATGTCATGATTCCTTTTTATTCCAGGAGTTTGGTCCTTAAGGGGTTAAAAATGACAGGTTGTATTGAGAAAAAAGCTCAGAAAACGTTCCATGAAAATTACAACCCTGAAAAGAAAAAATATATGTTATTTTTCATTTATAACAAAATGATGTGTAAGTGTGTGTGCACTTACAGGGAATCTCCAGTGCCAGGAAAACAATCCGTTTTCCTGGCACTGCAGGTCCCCTCTCCCTCCCACCTCCCAATCCCCAGGTGCTGAAGGGGTGAAAACCCCATCAGTAACTTACCAGAAGGAATGACGATGTCCCACGTCGCTGCTTCTTCCTCCCTGTGATTGCGTCGGCTGTTGGGCGAGACTGATCCCGCCCACCGGCCAGGTAAACCTATTGCGCATGCGCGGCAATGCCACTAGAGGTGGAGTTAACCCTGCAAGGTTATTATTGCAGTTTATAAAAAACTGCAATAATTACACTTGCAGGGTTAAGAGTAGTGGGAGTTGGCACCCAGACCACTCCAATGGGCAGAAGTGGTCTGGGTGCCTGGAGTGTCCCTTTAATGTGAAATAGATAATGGCTGAACAATCATATAGCTCAAATTATTTTAATTTTGGTTAAGAGCTTGAACTGCCTGCTTCCTTCAGGGGTTAAAGAGGCGTGCTATAACACCATTCTCTCACATTCCACACATATCTGCTTGAAGAGTATGTGTCACTTTAATAAGTTTGACTCTTGCAGCTTGCCGTAGGAATTGACTACTCAGATGCTACAGTGACAGTGATACAATGTTGCGCTCCTTGTAACTTCCTCAGTGTTCTAGCTGCAATGCTGCTGTTACTGGCATGTATCTGTTTGTGGGGCTCCTTACAAACTGCTCCTATTCAGGTCTTTGTGATCCCACACAGCCATATGGATGTAGGCTGGGTGTATACAGTACAGGTACAGTCTGTTAATGTTCTTTGCATATGTCTGCATGAATGTGTGGTTAATAAGACTTGTTTTCCAATCCATTTAAATAGACAGCAGTACAGTTGCTGACAGATTAAGGAGTTGCATTTGTGTTTTTATGCTTTTAGTGCTCTATAAATGTATAACCACATGACATTTGTCAGGTGATTTCTAAGGATGCCATTTTTATTGAGGGCACAGATAGTTTGGTAAGATATGGCATTATATATGGCAGGGGCTGGCTGAGGGTGACATGACTTTTAGTCATATAATAGTTGGCTGCCAGTATGGAAGTATTAAGAAAGATCGTACATGCCTCAGAAAAAAAGCACGCTAAATCACCAAAGCAGATTATTACATTATATATAATAGTATATATTATAATTATTAGAACACTTAAAAAGCTGAGTTTAGAGAAATGTCTTTTATATAGGCTGATATTGTTTTTCAAGAAATTACAATAGACCTAATAGAAATAGTAATTACAAGGGAGTTTATTTGAAAAACAATGAATACTTAGGTCAGAGTAAACAACATTAGTTCAATCATTTTTTGAAGCAGCACCTTTTGTTTAAATTTTACAATGTTTGCAATTTATTACATTTTACTATTTAATTAATAAATCCCTATATTTCATAGCATACGTGATTTATTTTTATCATGTGCTAGTAGGTTAGAATTAAAATCACAGAATTGGATGGATATTATCGCATTACAGATTATTTTTTTTCCATATGTATCTAGATTAGAACTCCATTTTAGATAATATTGAGTTCCATTCTTCTGCGTGTGAGAGGTAGTTTAGTGTAATATATTATGTTACGAGAGTATGAGACAGTCTGACCAAACAAATGTGAGAAAGAGAGAGATTTCTTATGGAATATTAGACATTAACCATTTCTATGACTGTTTGCATGAAACCAGGATGCTATTCTGTTACTAATGATCCTTACTTTAAGTAATAATACAGAATATACAACTTTAACTGCTCCAATGATTAAAGGAACACCATGGTTACCCAGACAACCTCATTGGGATGAAGTGGTCTCAGTGCAGTGTCCCTGTCCCCTTAAAGGGACCCTGCATGTTTTGCAGGCTGCTTTTAAATATACCCTCAATAAAAATTGCATAATTAAGTTCATGCACGGTTTCATTTGGGGTATGTTATGCAAGCCCCATTGATTCAGTGCTTTCCTATGGGAAAGTCAGAATGTGCACATGGGCATTCGGCCTTCCTCTATGAGGAGCATTGGATTGGGCCATTGCGGAGGAGACAGGAACTCCTCTGTGATGTTGGCAGAGGTCAGCGGCGCAGAGGGATCCTCAGTGCTGGAATAAGATAAGTAAAACATATTTTTATTTATTTTTTTGCTCGGGAGGGGGCTATTTAGAGCCAGAAAGAGGGACACTATAGCATTAGGAATTTAGATTTGTATTCCTAATGCTAAAGTGCTCCTTTAAGCTCTTTTTAGTCAATGATTTCAAACAATGTACTGGATAGGTTAAAAGGTGTAAGACCATTGTTAATAAACTAAACCTTTGCATCTAAGGTACAATTAAGACAAACACTGGCTTAACTCATGACTTTGGAATAATACCTAGGTACTTGTCCAAGATTTGGTTATGGCAGTTTTATGACATACTGTGACATGTGATATTGTTGAAAAGACATTCTGTTAGAATATTGCTAAGGCTACTCCGATATTATATGTAACCTGTTGTTAACTATACTAGCATATTCTCATTCATTGTCTGTAACTGCCTGTCTGATTGAAACTAATAAACATGACACTGAGAAGAAAACTTGTTTGGTCTGACTCTCTCCTATTCTCGTAACATAGTATGCTAGAGTCTAGACTACATTTAGTTCTACAAAAAGTAGGCTAAATAGTTGCTATGGACATAAATATTGCAGGTTAATGCCTTAACCATTCCATTTACCTGTTTATTGAATAGACCACAAAGCTAACATTATCAATTACTGGCTAGTGATAATGGGAGTTCTAATTAAAGAACTGCTGGTAATTTACCATTATGCCTCAAAATAGAAAAATATTTTTCTATGATAAATCCTTTTAAAGAACTGGTGGTTGTTAGAACATTCTAACATTCTAAAAGTCTGCAGTAAACAGTGTGATATTTTAGCATTTTTTTCTCTTCTTAACCTACGCTATTTGTCTTTCCAGGAAAGTATGCATGCGTACGCTGCCAATGTCTACAGGACTGTTGTGGAAGAATTAACGAAGGGCAAACATCGGAAGTTTATTGTAGTTGAACAGGAATTTTTCCGCCTTTGGTGGGACACCGTGGCAGATGACTTACAAAAGCAGCAGGTAAGAGAATGCTTTGCTTGCAGAAGTTCCGTTTTCGGGGCAAACCATATAGAGACTTGTCAAATGGACTAGAAAAAAAACACATCAACACTAAATTTGCCAAAAAATATCAACCCTCACAAGGGATCTAGTCCTGAGGTAAGCAAAAAAAACCTTTGGCACTCCAGATGTTGTGGAATACATATCACATAATGCTCTTACAGTCATATGCTCTCAAAACATCTGGAGTGCAGCAGTGTTAATTTTGTCCACTAACAATTTTAGCCAAATTTTAGTCTACTAAAATGTTTGAGATTTAGTCGACTAAAACTAAAACAATTCAGATGACTAAAATACGACTAAAACTAAAATGGCATTTTAGTCAAAGGACTATGACTAAAACAAAATGGAGATTCGCTGCCAAAATTAACACTGCACAGATGGGTTGTGGAAGGTGCAAAAGAGACAGATCAAGGCTTGGGAGAGAGACACCTAGAGGGGCTAAGGGGACACAAAGAGACACAGAGGGGCTGGGGAAGGGTCAAAAGCGACACATACAGGCTTTAACTAAACACAGCGGATATTTAGTCTACTTAAACAATTCAGATTACTAAAATATGATTAAAACTAAAATGGCTTTTTAGTCAAAAGACTATGACTAAAACTAAATTGAAATTTGCTGCCAAAATTAACACTGGAGTGCAGAAGATTGTCTAACTCTGATCTAATCTTTCTAGCTAGTGGTTCATTTGGATGTGCATAAAGCTATCCTGAATAACAGATAAGGAATTTCAGTCTGACACAGCATACATATTGTGACAAACCCCTCTTTCCAAGTGAGTTTGCCACGAGCATCTGGAGGAGCCTGCTTGCCAGCCTCCTGCCCACAGACTATGGACCCTGTAAAATGTAATGGGAAAAGTCTGTTTGTGTATTTGGACTATATGGTTTGGGCACCGAACAGCCTCACGGACCGGAAACCACCCTGGAGCTCGTTAAGCCTAATTGCTACTTTGTAGCAATTTCAACTGCAGCGTTTTAAGTATTTGTTTGGGTGGCCGCATTTCATATGGATGACCATGAGGTGGTGGCCATCTTGTTCGCATGAACGCAGGCAGCAGTGTTTAGTCGTCGAGTTCATGGAACTATTTTTGGACACTGAAACTCACGAACACCGTTGGACTTCCATCATCGCCTGTGTTCGGTTCTACAACACTTAGAAAGACACTGTCCAGCTTGTACTCCCAGAACTATGTGTCGTCTAGTTACTGGGAGGGTAAAGGGCTATTCTTTAATAACTGTTCCAGTCTGGAGGATTCAACAGGGAAAGTCCTTGTAAGAACTAGAGCTCCCATGACTGAGTGTCGTCCAGTGCCTGGGGGTGTCTAGAGTGAATTCCCCATTCAGCTCCAGGAGGGAGCGGTTCCAGGACCCCACTCAAGCCAAGGTGACTGTGGGCAGAAGTGCTGCGGTGTGTCCCCTGTTCTAGCTAGGAAGCAGTCCTTGGTGGAGGTACCCAGCCAGGGGTACAGGGAGCTCCATCACACATTTACACAAACACCAACCCAAAATCTCACCCTTCGTGTCAGTTGTGGAATAAAAATTATTATGTAAAGCTTTGCCCAAGGGTTATCCCAGCACATGTCTCCTCATGCAATATCCCAAATATCAAAAAAAGAAAGGAATTCAGCTGACTGATCTACAAAATAAATTGCAATAACATTGGGTAATACAGTTAAAAATTAAAACACTGCGCAGCTCACAGGATAGATGACAACAAAATTGCCTATGGGTGCCTCTCCTTAGGTTGTTTGGAAGGCTAGCCAACGATATCCTCCTGCTTCTGTTCCTAGAATGGACTCTACATCAAAGTAGATTTTCTTGGACTCAGGAAAGGTATCAAAAGGAATGCTTTATTAAATATGAATAAAAAAACAGGTCTTACATGTTTCATCCCCACATGAGATTTCCTCAGGGACCAAACAAATAAAATAATATGAATATTATTTTAGAAAATCTTTTTTGATGTGGAGTCCATTCAAGGAACAGAAGCAGGAGGATATTGTTGGTTAGCCCCCCAAACAATCTTAGGGGAGGCACCCAAAGGCGATTTTGTTATCATCTATCCTGTGAGTGTATTCCAGCTGCACAGTGTTTTAATTTATTTTTACTGTATTAAACTATGTTATTGCTATTTTTTTTGTGGATCAGTCAGCTGAATTCCCTTCTTTTTTTTTTATTTTTTTTATTTTTTTTTTTTTTTATACTGCGACGTGCTATACAGACTAGATGGATCCTTTCGTCTTTCAATTTTCATCATTTTTTTAATTCCATAACTTATTTCTCCCTTTATCATGCATGTAATGGTAAGTAAACAAAAAAAAAACCTTACAGTACTTGGTGACTATCCATGTATTGTGGTAACAAAAAGCTACTTTTCCAATAAGTTTTTTTATTTTATTTTATTTTTTTCTACCAATACTAGTATATCATGCAGTGGTCAATTTGTGTTGTGTGTCTGTGTATGAATGTAGGGGTGTATTTGTGTGGTTTGTAAGTGTGTGAATGCAGGGCTATATTTGAGCAATGTGTAAGTGTGTGAATGCAGAGGTATATGTGCACAGTGTTCTAGCATGTGAATGTAGGGAACTATTTGCACAATGTGTGAATGCAGATGTGTAAATGCAGGAATGTATTTGTGAGTAGTGATGTCCCGAACGGTTCACCACGGACTCCTCATTGAGTAAACTTTGACCCTGTACCTCACAGTCAGCAGACACATTCCAGCCAATCAGCAGCAGACCCTCCCTCCCAGACCCTCCCACCTCTTGGACAGCATCCAGTTTACATTCATTGTGAAGCTGCATTCTTAGTGAGCTGTCCAGGAGGTGGGAGGGTCTGGGAGGGAGGGTCTGCTGCTGATTGGCTGGAGTGTGTCTGCTGACTGTGAGGTACAGGGTCAAAGTTTACTCGATGATGAGTCCGTGGCGAACCGTTGGCGAACCGTTCGGGACATCACTATTTGTGAGGTGTGGCTGTGTGCGAATGTGGGAGTGTATTTGTGTGGAGCGCCAGTGTGAATGCAGAAGTATATTTTTGTGGAATGCCAGTGTGTGTTACTCCCCACTTATATACAATACAAATGAACTATTAGAGTCTTACCGTCTAACTCTGAGTATATTTGATTTCTATTGTATTGTTTGCCAGGTCCATCACTTGGTGGATGAAGAGAGATTGCAGTTTATTATCGGAGGACAAGTAATGCATGATGAAGCAGTCACTGCGATAGATGATCAAATTTTGCAACTAACAGGTACAGATTTGTGCCCTGAGTTAAGAAAGTTGTCTTATTTGCTGTTATAAATTAAATGACAATGTGTCAGTGGCATAACACTGTTATTCTGATTCTTCTGCAGAAGGTCATGGCTTCCTTTATGAAACCTTTGGAGTGAGACCTCGTTTTTCCTGGCATGTGGATCCTTTTGGTGCCTCAGCTACCTCACCAACCCTGTTTGCCATGGCTGGATTTAATGCCCATCTCATCTCTCGCATTGACTTTGATCTAAAAGCAAATATGCAGAACAACAAGGTAAGACTACAAACATTCTAATATACTACGCAGAGTGACTGCTAATCCCCATTTTGGTTGTTACGCCGCCCCACCCCTCTGCCAGCCAGCCATGCATTTTGCAGCTTTATTTTGCCAATAGCTGCCCCCCATCTCCCCAACCTCTATGTTTTTCAGGAGCAGAGGGCAATGGAGGTATGACTAAAAGGAAAGGTCTAGTGTTTAACCCAACATAGTGTGGTAGGAGCAAGTTGTCAAATTAGAATGTTATTGAATGATTAATAATGCTGTCCAACTTTAGTGTAACTCTGCTCTCAACCCTGTTGATCCTCCATAGTCAATATATTGTAGAATATTCAGGTCCAAGGAAGTTATAGATAAATCAAAATTTTGGACCTATTTTCTCTTTAAAACCATACAGAACTTGATTTTTTTTTTGCATATTTTATTAAGATGAAGTACAAAACTTCAATAGGATTTGCACAGGTATTTTATATTTTGGCTTTATTTATTTTTTTATTGCTTGTTGGCCACTTTAATTAAATGGTTAAATAACAGTGTTTTAATAAAACACATATTTTGGTTGGAGCATCCCTTGCTGGCATGCTCCCCAAGGATAAACGTAACAATGATCCTGCACCTAGACCAAGTTTTTCCTGTAATCCGATCCTTCTGTGATGTCACTCCCCCTTACTGCGGAGGAGGCGTGTCCTGGAGTATAGGCTGTAGAGAAGTCTTGGACGGCACAAAGAGCAGGGTTGTGCCGCCATTGGCCGCCTGTCACAAGCATGCCATACATGCCGACGACAGACGCTAAATATGCAAATATTTATTTCTAACTAGCTGAAATACTGCACATACAGACTTCAAGCATCATGACTACAGTCATGTTGTTCCTTACTGTCTCTCTTTAATGCTTAAAGGACCACTATAGTCACCCAGACCACTTCAGCTGGGTGCCAGAAACTGCTATGTTTACATTGCAGGGTTACTCCAGCCTCTAGTGGCTGTCTTCCTGTTTTCCCAGTGCTGGTTTGAACCCCTTCAGCCCAGAGGGAGGGGGAGACCTAAGGATTATATAGCGTCAGGAAAACGAGTTTCATTTCCTGACACTATAGTGATCCTTTAATTCAATATTTTATCCTTTTACTAATAGATGTGACTTGTTGTGATTGCTGTTCTTGACGGATTTGCATTTTGAAACTTTTTCCCCTGTTTCTTTTGTGCCATAGAAGCTACAGTTTATATGGAGAGGGTCCCCTTCATTATCAGACAAGCAAGAAATCTTTACGCATGTTATGGACCAGTATAGTTATTGCACCCCCTCGTATCTGCCATTTTCTAACAGGTAAACTCACTCCCGGAGAACAAAAATGCGAAATAACTGGCGTATTCTAATGCAAACATTCTGCCTTCTGTCATATCTGATATATTGTAAATAATGAGCTAAACTGTAATTTATATTTGGGGATATTTCAGAACTTGATTAAAACCATGTAAATAACAGAGTACAGATCGCAAATAATAATACACAATGGGGTGTATCCACCGAGCCAGGAATTCTGAAAAGCATTTATTTTCTTTATTTAAACCTAAACTGTATTATGGAATAATTACGTTGGAAACATGTGACTATCTCAGTTGTTACACATCCTTCAGGTGTTGTGAATGTGTGAATGCACTATTTGATTTCAATAATTTGACAGATTATTTAGCCTGAGACAGTCTAGACACTAACTTAATTTTTTACAGGTCACTACAGATCAGTGATAATGGGCACGGTGTTAAGAGTCTGAGTACCTTCCTCCTTTTTTAAATTTTGTAAAAATTTTTTTGGGGGGGATTGTTTGTTTGTTAAACTGTTTAAGAGTGGGTTGGCAAAAAGATAGGACAGTCCTCAACACCCCCAAAAAAATCCACATTTAAAACTGTAAAACTACACAGAAAATGTGGTATTTGCACCTCCACTTTATCAATTGTATCTAACTTTGATGGTAGTGCTAGGCCGAGAGAGCTAACCCACCTCCAGTACTACAGTAATGTGGAAATGTAAATTCTGCATATTCAAGTCAGCTGAAGAGGGAAGAGTCCTTTCCATCTGACTTTAAATAAATTTAACGAATAAAATAGATGATGGTTCCCATAGACATGATATGTAGTGGTTATGGTGCTTAGAGTTTCCGTTTAACATATCATCCTGAGCTATCCACTAAAAATGTGTATAAAGGAAAGCATTCTGGAAAAGATGGAATTAACCCTGAAATACTACTAAATAATAATAATAATAATAATAATAATAAGAAGAAGAATAATAATAATGCAATAAAAAGGTTAACAGATTTATTATTGCACTTTTATTAACTTTTTTTTTTTTTTTTTACAAAACCCTTAGAAACCATAATATTTGTTTTCCTTTATATATTTACACTTTTTTTCCCCCCCCGTACACTAGATCAGGATTTTACTGGAATGGAGTTGCGCTTTTCCCTGACCCACCAATAGATGGCATTTATCCAAACATGAGTCTTCCAGTAACAGTGGACAATATTAAACTGTATGCAGAAACGATGGTGGAGAACATTAAACAGCGAGCAGCGTGGTTTAGAACCAATGATGTTCTATGGCCATGGGTGAGCAAGCTCTTCTGGATAATCGTCTAGTAAATCTCTAAGCAGAGGGGATGTGTAAAGAGTTGTTGTAGAGCAAACAGTGGGGGAATTCCACTGATTTCAATGGTGACTGCAACATGTATAGAACATATCATTGGAGTCCCTTGTTTCTACTCAACTGTAAAAAAAAAAAAAAAAATACAGCTATAACCTACACTATCAACTCCTCAAATTGTATCAAACTGCTTCACCCCATCTGTAAAAAAAAAAAATCTAAATAATAAAATGAATAAGCAAGTGAATTGCTAAGGCTAAACTAGCATGGAGTAAAAGAGCCATCTCTCTTTGGTGCCTCAATATATCGTCTACCCTATCCATCACATGGACATTAACTGGTGTCTCCTCCACCGGCTCCTCCACATTTTCTCTGTTTCCTTAGATATTATGTATCCTATGATTACAAGCAGGCCGATATCTCACATGTCAACACAATTAAGCACATTGGTCAGCTCCCGTGTATATATATCCTTAGGGCACATAAATGTTGACACATTCTTTTGGTTTCCATGGTCATTTCTCGTTATTATTAATATTCTAATTGTTATAACGTGTGTGCGCTTTGATAAATATGGGTCATATAGGGCACACAGTTAACCCAATTATTTACACCGGCAGAGCTTTGTCCTTACTAAATCATGTCAGGCAGTTATATTTTAATATTTAGGTTCCTGTACAACGAATCTGAATTAGAGCTTTGTTGCATCAATCACTTAAGATCAGTGTTTTTTTTTTTTTTTTTGTGTACAAATAAATCTCCACTACCTTCACTGATACTCTTGGTTATGCTTTATAGGGATGCGACAAACAGTTCTTCAATTCCTCGGTTCAGTTTGGAAATATGGACCTATTACTGGACTATATTAATCGCCACAATGAGTTTGGAGTGACTGTGCAGTATGCTACTCTTGGAGAGTACTTTAGTAGCATCCATGATAGAAATCTTACGTGGGATGTGCAAGATAACCAAGACTTCCTTCCATATTCTTCTGGTAGGTTGGTTTAAATTTTTCAGGAGACTAGATAATTTAAAAATGGCACTGTTATTTTGTAGGTTTTTTTTTTTCTAGTAGGTTTTTAGTTATAAGGCATACAGTGCCCTCCACTAATATTGGCACCCTTGGTAAATATGAGCCAAAAAGGCTGTGAAAAAATTTATTTATTGTTTAACCTTTTAATCTTTGATTACTCAAAAATACTCTGCTCTCATGGATATCAAACATTTGCCCACAGGTTAATTTAAAAAAAAATATTTGATAAATGTATGTGTGCTACAATTATTGGCACCCATTTAGTCAATACTTTGTGCTACCTCCCTTTGCTCTGAGTCTTCTCCTATAATACTTAATGAGCTTGGAAAATACATGACAAGGGATCTGAGGCCATTGCTCCAACATAATCTCTCCAGATCGTTTACATTTCGAGGTCGATGCTGGTGGACTCTCCTATTCAGTTCACCCAACAGGTTTTTTTTAATGGGGTTCAAGTCAGGAGACTAGAATGGCAATGGATGTCACCTTGATTTTGTGGTCAGTAAACCATTTTTGTGTTGTTTTGGATCATTGTCCTGCTAGAAGATCCAACCACAGCCCGTTTGAAGCTTTCTGGCAGTGGCAGTCGTGTGTTCATTTAATATATTATGATTTTGGATAGATGCGAGATATACTAACAAAATATCCAGGTCCTCTTGCAGAAAACTGCTCCAAAACATTAAATAGCCACCATCATATCCGGTTTACTAAAAATGTTAACTATCAATGGGAATATACTTTAGATATATTTTTCTCATGAATTCTTAGGGACGACCATAACTGTGCCACACCTGTATTTAAGAAAGATATTTTTGTTTCTTTCTTTTTGGCAAAAGGTTAAACAATACAGACACTTTTTTTTTTTCTTTGCTCCTATTCACCAAGGTTGCCAGTATTAATGGTGAGTACTGTAAAACTCATACAAACTTGTGCACAGTCTACACCACAGCAAACAGAACACGCGTCTACACTCGAATACAGATACCAGGTAAAGGTGGTCAGAATAAAACCCCAATCTTTGAAATTTCAAATGATACACAGTACCTGTTATTAGTTTTTTAGTTATACATAAGGGAAAGTAGAAACCACTTTTTTTTTTCCATTGGGAGTGGGTTCTTTTTACCTTTGCAATTTTTTGCAGTAGTCGGCGAGTAAAATGTACCCAGAATCCATTAGTGAAAATAATCCCACAAAAGTAAAAAAAATTGCAGACATTATGGACAGAGTAGAACATAATGGCCGTACCTGTATGACGGGATCCAGTGCAGATAAGAAAAGATAATAAAAATGGAAAAACAACTGGCGGGTGGATAGAAGGGGTGTAAAAAAAGGAAAATTTAAAGAAAAAAATGGACACATGACATTCCACATTAAAGAGACTGCCAACTACCTACATTACTATACTACTATATATTTGGATAGTGGACAGGCTCATTTTAAAATGCCAACTTCAAGATCGCCGGTTGATACAATACTCACTTTAGGCTTACTTTGCACTTTCTATATCTTTTCATGTATCCAATTGTACTTGTTATTATGATAACAAATATATAACGCACAGACTCTGTAACTTAAGACTATTACCATGTAAACATGGCTTCTTAAACTAAAGTTCTATCTGTTATTTGAAATTACTAACCCTGCTGGAAGTGTGCATCTGAAATGTTTTTCATTTTCTCGCCTTTATTTTGCCTTTCCACAGACACATACCAAGCATGGACTGGGTTTTATACATCTCGCAACGTATTAAAAGGAGTAGCACGAAGGGCAAGTTCGTTGCTGAATGCAGGGGAGTCTGCATTCACACTGTATCTTTTAAAGTATCCTTCAGGTTCTGTGAGTAAAATCTGGGCACTGATGCAACTGCAAGATCTCCGGTGGGCTGTCTCAGAGGTAAGTGCTCTTTGCAAATAATTTTTTCTTTGATCCTTTGTAAACTTTACATAATGTTGAACTATTGTTTATTGATTTTTTTTATTTATTTTTTTACAAATAAGTTTATTTTCTACAGAATCTTAAGTGTTTTGTAGATGCAAAAGTGACATAGAGAGTCCCTCCAGTTTCAAGGAGGTAAACAATACATTTAGATGTCATTGCATGCCGGTATGCTATTCTTAAAAGGACACTGTAGGCGTTGTAACAGCTTCATCTCATTGAAGTGGTTATAAAGTCTGAAGTCCCCTGGCATTGTCTTTCCATTCCACAGTAAACTGTTTTTGATGTAAAAGTGATTCCCAGCAGCTCATCCGCTGTGTTTTTTGGGAGATAATGAGGGAACATTGGCCTGAGCCGCAATGGTGCCCTTCTTTGCCCTGCTTAGCTGACTCCTTTCAGCCCATCCCAACAACCATTTTTCCTATGGACATGAGACATGCTTTAGTCATATCTCCAGTAGGTGCTGGCCTCTGCATGACCATCAACTTTATTTAGTGTTAAACTGCTCGAAAATGGTTTAAATGGAGAGGTGGTGCCAGGGGACTCCAGTATTTCAGCCAAATCAACGAAATGTAATGATTATAAGGCCTACAGTGTTCGTTTAATTACTTGCAGGGTGAACCCACAACTATGTATTTGCCCTCTTGTGACATTATTATTATTATTATTATTATTATTATTGTTATTATTTTATTTGTTTCATTCATAAAAACATGAATTGAAGAACACTGTAGATTAATAGAATTAACACATTGTGACAGAACATCTGTAACCTTACATAAACAGCTCTCTTCATAGATTTTATGAATTAAGCGAATTGTGACTAGGTCTATTGTATGCAGGACAGCTGAGCAACAACTTGTTCAGTCAGTCTACCACATTAGCAATCTTATTGGAGCTTTTATACTCACTTTTGTTTCTAAAGTTGCAGGATATATGATAGTCTGTTAAAATGCATAATTAATTCATATGAGGGAAAAATATGGTCATGCTCCTATTTTTATTTGGGAAGGAAACAACAGTCACATAAAAACAAGTAGATAGTAATTAATATGTGTAGCACAGATGTTGCATTATAGGAGATCATACTACACCAAGGAGTATGTTAACCGCTTTGCAAGATTGATAGTAATTCTGCACATGATGGGTTCAGTATAATTAGGACACCAGAATATTTGAGTGAGATAACAACACATATATGTATGGATTGTGCAAGAAAGATTAATAAACATCATATAGATTCACAGTTTTAAACACTAGAGGAATAAAAATATATAATTTTTTTTTTTTAAAGTGATGTAGCTATGAAAATATTGTGTTTTCCCAAATGCCAAGCATGTAAATATAAATAAATGCTGGAGTGAGTTATATGCATATGGGTGCATGTAAAATAAATATTTCTTTTTCTGAAGGTCCAGCATCATGATGGGATCACAGGCACGGAGTCCCCAAAGGTTAGGGACATGTATATGGAAAACCTTTTTCGAGGGATGGTGGGAGTAAGAAAGCTGATTGGAGCAATAGTTATGGACCAGTTCAGCTCAGAAAAATACAGTAACATCAATGGTATTCATCAACACAAATCTCTATCAGTAGAAATGTATCTTTTTTTTTTTACCTTATCTGCATATACATTTGTAAAACGTATCTGAAAAGTGCAAGAACCACAGCTATGCAACATTTAAATAAAGTAAAGGATTAATCCAAACATCGTAAGCACTACAGCCGCTGTGGTCACTATGACTCCAGTGATGCCCTGGCCCCGATTACTAGTAATAGGGCAAATAGTTTTACAGCGGTTTAGCCTCTTAACTGGGTCCCATCCAATACAAAAGCTGGAAGTCAATCATTGGCAGAGAGCATCAGATGAACATGCCCAGTCAAGGAATTTCATTCTGTGCTTAGAAATCTGTACACAATTGAACTGAGTGACACCCCAAAGACGCTGCTAGAGGTGGATTTACACCTGCAGCAGCAAACAGGATAAACTTTGTATGATAAGTGTTTCAAAGGGAAACGCTGCACATACAGACTCCAGGAGCCATGACCACATCAAATCACTGAAGGGAGTGGACAAGGTGCATGGGGTAACCCTTCAAATAGTCCAAGACAGTTGATCAGCAGAACAAATTTGATTTGAGAATAAATTAATAAGCGTTATAACTGATATGTTGATATTTAGAAGGTTTTTTTTACATTTGCAGTAGTTACAATTCTATTCCTTATTTTTATTCTTCAAAGATGCAATAAACATTACGGTGTACAACCCATTGGCATGGAACATTTCAACTTTTGTAACTGTGCCGGTGAACGCCTCGGTAGTCGGTGTGTATGATGAGTTTGGACAGCCCGTACCAGCACAGGTAACTTGCCGCCTTCACTGCAGTATGCATCTGTATGATGTCTTTCTTGTTTGCTTTATTTATGAGAAATATTAAATGATTATCAAAAGAGAAAAGAAAGGTTAAGGTCAGCTGGAATTATTAGCCTGATGACCTGACAATCAAGGGAAATGTTTATGAAAATGTTTGCATTGACAAATTACAGGCCCAGCAGTGTTAAATTAAACTCTGTATCACTATGTTTGGTGGACACAGACAGAGAATGATCACTTATTAGCAAACTGCCAAGTCAGAAACCCTGCACATAGTCCAGGATTTCTTCTGCTGGTTCAGACAGAACTTACCATAATATGATTATCTTGATAAAGATACAATGCACCATGTGAGTAATCCCAAAATAATTTTGGCTCACAGGATAGATTTTTCTACAATGCAATTATACATTATATGGGTAATGCATTAAAAAGTACTACAGCAAACTACTAGTTTGTTTTGATTTTTTTTAAAAAAAATCTGTTTTTGGTGGTTTTCTTTTTCACTCGTATATCATAATGGTTCCATACATATAATCTGGGCCCCAAAGTGGGTCCCTTTGCAATTTTAGTGGGCTACCCCTCATTGGAACAGTTAGTAATAATCACTAGTGCCTAATCTGAATGTGTTGGAGGACTTGCTGTTGCAGGTGATATTTGTCTGTCCTTTGTAGTCTCTGTGGTGCTGGAATTTTTTTTTATTTTTTTTTATTGGCTGTTCGAAGTATAGAACTGGATGGACAAAACGTGGGCACTCAATTGTTGTAACATCAATCAAATAAGTTTTTTTTGTTTTGTTTTTTAAATCTGGGTTGGTGCTTTTGGCCACCACTGCTGTAGAGGATATACTCTTTTTTTTTTTGGTGTTAATTTAAACAGCAAGATGTGACTTAGCACATTTAGTTACTTAAAATTGCAGCAGGAAATTAATTGGCCTACACTGGTCTGAGGTAGAAATACATTAACGTACACAATTGCTAATTCTGCTGTGTTTTCCGAGACAAATTCATGTTTTTATTCTGTGAGAAATTGCCTCTTAGATTGAATATGATGTTCCTTTTAAACATAAATGTGTTTTTTAGAAAATAAAAGCTGTGATGATTCATCCTATCGCCATGTTACATTGGTGCATTTTGATCTAAAGTTTGAATTTTTCGTATTTGCTTTCCATACTTTCATATTTAGTGAACGAACATGTTAATGTAAAAGGCATGAATGCCGCATTTGGTCACATTTACAAAGTTTAATTATAGACTTCTCCTATTTAACTCCAGATCCAAAATTCCACTGAATCAATCTATGCTTTTGATCTGCACATACTAGTTACTCTCGGTGGCCTCAGTTATCGGAAATATTGTATATATTTTGGAAGTGCCAATTCTGAGAAGAACACCATTGTTGATGGAAGACTGATAAAATTTCCCAGGAAACAAATTAACAACAGATCTAAAAACAACAAAGGCCAAGTGAAACCTGTAATGAATGAATGTTACATTGTGTGGATTGACCAAGCCACAAATTTAATTGATGCTATAACAGACAGGTACATTGAATTCTTCCCTAGATTTATAAAACCATAAATACACTTGACATCTGTATATTAAAAAAATAAGTATAATTCTGCAAGCACGATGAAGATATGAAATTTGATTCTCTATCATTTAAGATCAAGTTGTATTCTCATGAATAGTACCCATTAACTGTCAAATTGATTAATACAGATTATTCCTTTAAAACAAACCCTGTCTTTAGAATTTTAAAAGTGCACCAGCACAAAAGTTAGAAATACTTTTCTGATAGCCGAGTCTATAATTATTGGTCTAAGATGACCCAAGAACCCATCAGACCCATTGACAATTTGCAATTGTAGTTGTGGTATTTTCAAAACAAGCTTCTGGGCTGGTGCTCAGTGTCAAATGTCAAGCCATTGAACACATATTAAAAAGTTCAACCTGGCCACACGTTACTCATGGAAACTTTATTTATTTTGTTTTAATGCTAGTTATTATCATATCGTCATAAACTTGAGTTAAAATTTTGGCGAGCGCCATAAACTTGAATTCATCATTTTGATTATGGTATTGCTTATGTCAAATCAGAATTGTTTAAACTCTTATCTTATTGTTGTCATTTTGACCATAGTTTTGGTCAAATTATCATTTTGACCCTTCTCATCATTACGTTAAACTTACATTAAAGCTTAGGGTTAGCTTTAGGCTTATGGGTATGAGTTATTGCTCGCATTATGTTTCTTTGATTTATTAAGAAACAAAAATTATAAAATCTTTGTGCAATCATTACACAATCTAAAATTTCTCAAAGGAGATTCCTCTATTAACCGCATAGTTAATAAAATAGAGTGATCCAAATCCAGATGAAATTCGCCTTCTTATGAATCCATTAAAATACAAAAATAATAGGAATTGCACCACAGCTGTGACAAACAACCCCTCACCTCCTCACGAGTATCGTGTGGAATGACCATATTTAATCTAAGGAGGCCAACTCCCATCCTCAACTACGGAGGCATTTTGCTCCTCATCCAAAATCAAAGCTAGTGCCTTGCATCTCTGCCTTCCTGGCAAAAGCAGTTAGGGTCTCGCTTGTCACGGGAAATCTCGGTTGCATACTTTCCTAACTCATAGAGCCTCTCATCGCCACTTGGCTTAATTGTTTTGCTGCTTGGCATAACACTGGATAGCCCATACCTGGATGTTGTACAGTTGTTTTCACTAACTATTTTCTGTTTCAGTTATGGTTATACATTTTTCTACATTCCGCACTGGGTTTCAATATAATTTTTGCCCAATTTTACCAATTAATTATATCTTAAGTTCATGATTTATCTTCCTAAAACCTGGGAAGTTTGGTAATACGTAACAGTTGCTGTATCAGTCAAGGTACAAGTAAGCCCAATTATAAGGAGGGAGGGCTTTGTTAATTATGTAGTTAAGTGTTTAGGTAATTTTATTATATTGCCCACTTTTTTCAGGCCTGCTTGTTTGATGACATATCACAACCGACTTGACGCTACTGGTATAGCTCAAACATTATTCTATACGGCGCTGTATTTGCGTGAGGCTGACAAGACATTTGCTTTGGGCATAACTTTCAGGGGGTGGCAAAAATGGCCCCTCTTTTTTTTCAGGCCGACCCATTCATCTGTTTAAGAACACCTCAACCTACTTGCTCTAGAATGACAGTTGTCATTTGTCTTTTATGGGACCAGGTTAAGCAGGTCATTTAGTGCCTGTAAGGGCAATCAGCAGTAACAAGAAGCTGATAGGTTCAGGAAAATAGTAAGCACTGCACATAAGAATCAATGTAAAGGGTTATGTTATTAATATTATTTTAAACAGGTGATGATTAAAAAAAAAAAAGCTTTCAGACACTTTTGACTGTTTGTTTGCATTAGGTTTTTTAATTTCAAGCTCACCTTGGAAAAGACATATAGAACACGCTCTTGTGGAACAGTCGTTGGTATAATGAAAATGCTATAACTTACTTGAACTTCTTATTTACTCCTGTTCAGAGAGCGAAATCACACTGTCCGAATGACCCAAGAATTTCTAGAGTACCATGCTAATGGAAATGTCGACGTGGGGCCTATTTCAGACAACTACTTATTCGCTTCAAGTGAACATGCTGTCCCTGTTGCAAACGCTGTTGGGCTAGAAATTGTGTTTGGGAAGTTGGTTACGGAAATTAGGCAGTATTTTTACAGGTAATGCTCTTTCTGACCTTAAGATTGTAACCATGATTTCAGTAATGGAAATACCTTTTTCTAAATATTTTATCAATGATACCAATCCTTCCTGTATCTGAATGCATATCTGTTTGTATTTACATTTATAACGAGCCATGCAGTATCTACTTTCAATGGAACCCTTAACAAACCTTGCTTGGTACCCCTATACATCTGTTCGCACCATTGCTAACAGTGTCAAAGTAAAATGAACTAATTAATATATAACATTGATATGTTGTTGTATCAGTTTTCTCCTGCCACGAATACTAGAACTATTTCTGGTTAGATTCAACTTCTGCCACAATCTTTCACCCTGACATAGGTATGCTGCCAGTTTGTCTGAAATATACAATGTATTTTAGAATTCCTTGACTCCTTCAATAATCTGTGTCTAAGTGTGGCATTGAATACCATAAACATTGAAGTCCATAAACAGAAGAAAGATGTTAGTTTGGGATTTATGGATGGAAAGAACACTAAACAGTGCTACAACTGTCAGTTCAGTTATTTAGGAAAGGGCTTACATCTGTACTGAATGAATTTGTGTGTCAAATTTCATTTGTAGACGATAATGATTAAATATAAACAATGTAATGCAATATTTTTATCTTATTTCTAGTCGTTTCAGAATGTTTATTTTTTTTGTAGAATTCATTTTTTTAGATTCTCGGGGGGAGGACCAAAATTGTTGCTAGACTTTAATTTTCAGAATTTCATATTTTGCTGTTATAGATTTTGAAATGATGGTTTAATTATATGAAACAGATTCAGTCTTTCAATGGTCCTTTTTTTATCTTTTTCTTTGTGTCACCTTAGCAACCTCGATGCAGAAGGTTACCGTTATGCAATATTTTCAAGGCTCTACAATGTCCCAGACGGTTATGACAAGATGCCACTCTGTCGACGTATTGAGCAGCAATACCGAGTTGGGCCTTTGCAGATTAATCGGGAGTCAATTTTAAGAACAAGCACAGATATGGAAACAAACAAGAGAATTTTCACGGACAACAATGGATATCAAATGCAAATGAGGGAGTTTAAAACCTATTCTGACAACTCCGTACCTAGGGTAGGAAATATATAAACTATTTGATGCCTGCTAGTCACCTTGCCACTACTCAGGGAAGCTCTCAGAAAAGAGGGTAAAAAAGAAATACAGAGAGATGTTGGTGTAAAAGAATGAATGTACCTTCTAAAGACTGATGTATGGGAGGCTTGGGTTTGTGAGTAAGTCTGCAATTAAAATGATATGACTTTGGCCACTGGTGGGGTTCACTATGACAACCTCTCTTTGCAAGCCCAGAAAAAAATATTTGTTAGCATCTGCAATACAAATACAATATGGTAAAAAAAATATTAATATGCAGATCACAATTTTCAGAACTCCATATTAAAAACCACCATTGACGGTGTGACTTGTAAATCGTCGTTCACCAACAGTACATATGTGTTCCAGACTGCCTGAGATTGGTAGGAGTGATATGCCTATGAGGATGGCTTTTGATTATTTGCAGTTCTTCATTCCTGCCTATCTGCAGCTGTTGTCATGATTCTGTTGCTGTTCTCTTACTAATATACCGGGTGAGGTGCTGGGGAGAGAGCACACACAGGCTCACTCTGCTCCAGCTTATTGAAAGGCATGTAGGCAAGTGAAGAGCGACAACTGTAGTCAAGCTGCGTCTATTACAGAATTGCAGCCTTGAAAGGAACCCAGGCAACTGTGGGTGTGCAGCTATGGAACAAAACCTATATTTAAAAAAAAAAAAAAAAAAAAGTTTTTAAAGACACTTAAGATTAACGTAATATGAAAGATACCTGACATTGATGTGTTAGTGGAAAATATTGCCTCTTTCAGAAACCCTCAGTGTCATTATTAGTGTTGTCTTTGTATATTTTCTGTTTCTCTGTGTTTTTGTAAAACATTCAGGACACAATTATCTGCAATGTTCCCCTGTCTATGTCTCTATGTTCAGCTATTTGCAAGTCTGAAAAAGCTCATTATCTGGTTGAAGCAAACATTTTTTTTAATTTTGTTTCACAGCACAACATATAGACCTGGACTAACATGGCATATGACTTGGAGGAACATTTTAAGCTTTAGAAATACAAACCTGTGTTATTAATGCTATAGTGTGCCCTGTCCCTAACTTATTAGGTCCCCCACCTCTCCTTGTGAAAGTGTTAAAAAAAAAAAAAAAACTTTTAAGACTTGCCTCTTTCATGCGCTGAGGTTCCCTCAGCACTGACTAGGTCTCCTGAGGCAATCTAATGTGCATGCGCAGAGCTTGCTGCACACACATTGCAGCTTCCCCATAGGAAAGCATTGAATTAGTACTTTCTTATGGGGAATTTGAAGATGGTAGACATCATCATGCAAAGTGTCAAGCAAGCACAGGAAGTACCTTTTGTGGCTATTTGAAGACAGCCTTGAGAATTTGTCTCAACATGTAAACATTGCAGTTTCTCTGAAAGGGAACACTGCACCCAGACTACTTCAATTAGATGAAGTGGTCTGGGTGCCTATAGTGTCCCTGTAATGATGTTTTAAAAAAAATACAGCACAGGTGACTACTTGAAATGTACAATGTATTTTTATTAGTATATGCAAAATGCAATATATAAATCTTTGTTTTATCATAGAATTATTATCCAATGGTCCGTTCAGCATATGTAGAAGATAACAGTACTCGACTCGTATTTCTAGCTGAAAGAGCGCATGGAGTTGCCAGTTTGGACAGTGGTCAAGTAGAGGTATTTAAGCAAGCTGTTAAAATATTTGTGCAACCTGGTGGCTATTTATTTATTTATAAAATTTTTACCGTGAAGGATACATTGAGATTTCTCTAATTTTCAAGTATGTCCTGGGCAATGTAAAATCTACAATTTATTTGTTTTTCTTATTTTAATTTCCATAATATAACAGAACAGCCAGAATGCACCATGTAAACCGTTTTATCTTTGCGTGGGCACTTAATTGCAGAGGGAATGCTGAAGCATGCTCTTATATGACTTTTCTGTGGCATGAATGTGCCCGGAGTATATGTTGAGGAGATGATTGTGATCAGGACACACAAATGTTGCAGAGATTTATTCCTTCTGATGTGCTACTCATCCCAGTAAGCACGTTGGTTGCATTATTGGGTTGAGGAAATAAGTTATAATTCTGCTTTAATAAATAAAATAGAAAAATCTTAAGAAAGAAATAGGTGCCCAGGAGCTAAAATGTAACAGAGTATCTATGTACCCTGATACACTGGAGTGATTTCATCACACGGAGGTCTATTGCTATTAATTCTCATACATGAAGTGTTAACACAAATTTCTTTAAAAATAGCTCATGAAAAAACTTTTGAATTTTGACAATTTGACATTTTCTTTTCATGCTCCAATTAAAAAGCTTTTCAGCTGTTAACAATGCTGTTTCCCCATTGAATCATTCATTCTCTCATTGATTATGGCTTTGTATTTCCATTAATGTCTTAGATCATGCTACACAGAAGGCTATGGAATAATTTGGAATGGGACCTTAATTACAATCTTACTTTAAACGACACCTCTGTAGTTCATCCAACTGTCTGGCTGATGATGGGGAGCAAGGCTGAGATGGGTTCATTGTATCAGAGAGTTGGCCTGGCTCTGGAACGTAAACCACTGGTGATATATAGCCCATTAATAGGTAATATTTTATATCAATCTTACGGTTTAATGTAAGCTATCGGTAAAACTCCCTGAACTGGGAATTGTCAGGAACTAGCCAGAGAGTTGCAAACTTAAGTAAACAAAATATCCAAACTGGAAAAAAATTCCAACTTGCCAATTTTTCCAGCTTGGCTTTTTGGGATCTGTCAAAAGTTGAAGTTTCCTAGTCAAGATCAAGCTATGGGGTTAATTAGACTGTGTGCAATACAATGGTGGTAAGGCATTCGAGGTCTATATGTTGCCACTGATGTATAGAATGTAATCTCTGCTATCCTCCAATAGACTGCCCACAAGACCATTCTAGAATTGAAAGGAACACTCCAATCACCTATAGCATTTAAGCTTGCTGAAGTGCTTTATGTGTAAAGAGTGTGTCCTCTTTATTAAATTTCATGAAAAGTGCAGAGTTCAATAGACAATGGCACTATTAGACATTTGCTGTCAATCAGCTTTTCTGTACAGCTTAGTGGGGCTAAACTCAGGAAGCAGGCTATTGCCCAGAGCAACCACCTTGCAAAGACTTCTCATTGAGCTACATTGGGAAGTCTTTTATTGGACAGCCACAGAAAGTCTGGGATGGGGAAGAAGGAAAGGGCTCGCAAGGCTTCAGACTAGTGATCTTTTGCAAGTTGTTTTTAGATATAACCACAACGAATAAATACATAACTAAATCCATGCATGTTTTTATTGGTGGTATATCTACTGAATATCTACTAAATGGTGTTTTTTGGTGGAGGGGAGGGCAGTGGAGTGTGACTTTAAGTTGATTGCTTGTGTGGACCATGTTTTTGTATTTGACAGGAAGCGAACCATCAGACAGGTTCAACAGTACCTCTGAAGATTCAATCAATTTACCTCCTAATCTTCATCTTCAGCTTCTGAGTATCCCAGGCTGGAAATACTCCTCAAATCACACAGAACACATTGAGAATGTACAGAAAGGTTAGAATAACATGGCACATTTCTTTTTCAATACTAAATTCATATCTACCTATAACCGGAAAACTTCATCATAGTATAAAAAGTGTGAGTATTGTAGATGTGTTGGTTGTTTAAATTAATTTATTTCAAGACAGAAAAGGAACTGGTGACTTCATACAGTGGTATTCAGCACGAACCCTATTAAGTTATCAGACGACAAAGCAAGGTGGGCATGAGAATTGACAAAGTTCTGTAACTTGAAATGTTGCTGCTTACACTATAGCCTCTTACGTAAAAATCGGGCTGTGCAAATGAACACTTGCACACCATTTGCACCATATGCTTTGTTACACAGCATATTGTGTTCTTTACTAAAGGGACCCTATTAAAGTGATCTGGGTGCAGTGCTGCTGTCCCTTTAACCCAGCAATGTAAAACATTGCAGTATTAGAGAAGGGAGGGACCTCGGCGCTAGAAACAGGTAAATGGTGGGGGGACCTAAATAAATAGAAAGACACTACAGCATTATGAATACAGTTTTGAATTCCTTATACTATATTTTTCCTTAAAGACACAGAACAGTGTACGTATGTGTGTGTGTGTATATATATAGTGTCATATGTTAAAGGGACACTCCAGGCACCCAGACCACTTCTGCCCATTGGAATGGTCTGGGTGCCAACTCCCACTACTCTTAACCCTGAAAGTGTAATTATTGCAGGTTTTAATAAACTGCAATAATTACCTTGCAGGTCTCCCCGGCCGGTGGGCAGGATCAGTCTCACCCACCGGCGGACGCAATGCAGAGGAGGAGCGCCGGCGGAGGAGGAAGCAGCGACGATGGACATCGTCGCTGCGCCCCCCCCCCCCCAATCCCCTTCAGCCACCAGTGATTGGGGGGTGGGAGGGGACCTGCAGTCTGGAGTTTCCCTTTAATAAAAAGGGCAGCAATTGTAATTTCTCAAAAAAAAAAAAAAAAAATGGAACCACTTGACCTTCTTTTTAAAGCACGTCTTGCACCAGCTTCCCAAATTTTTTCCTGATGAATGCATAGTTCATTCCTAGTGAACAGTTTTAGTGCAGCAGTCCGTTACGTATTTACTTAAATAATCAAAACAGGAAGTCACATATAATTTCGTATTATAACTGTGCTATTAACTCATTCTGTGAGTCTTGCTTTTCTTTTTGTAAGATCATATTCCTGACTAAGAAATTGAACAATTACACTGCTGCGCTTTCTACCTACACCTCACATTATCTATTCTAAAGTTCCATTGTGTTCTTTAGAAATATTTTTCATGCATTACTATTCAAGATCAGTCCATTGTCCCACTGGTCCACAGGTTCTTTTGCTAGCCTTTGTATTGTGGGGTGGACTTGTACTGAGATCTGGCTTCCCCTGATCGAATCTCCTCATGAGCGGAAAGGCTCTTGCTACTTGCTAGCTGGTTTATTTGTTACTGATTTGGTTTCAGTTCTGCCTTGGCTTTCCTTGTCTATAGATGCCTGCCTATAGACCTGAACTAGTCTAAAACCATCTCATCTGTGTGTCTTTTATTCTTGACTTAGCTTGCTTATCCATTATCAAGTATTCCAGGTGTCTGAGAACATGACTTACACCTGACTACACTCAGTTCTTTTCAGCTCTTCAAATGATTTGCTTCTAATTTGTCCATTCCAATTGCCTTCTTATTGCATTTTCTAGTTTAAGCTCTGTTAGTCTTTATAGAGCTTACTTTTTTTTTTAATTCCTTAGCTGACCTTCAGTATGCCTGAAGAATTAACATTAGCCCAAGCAGTGCTAAAATGCAGTCTGCCATCATTGCAATCCTGACAACTATACAATGTGACCACTCACTAAATATTCTTTGAAAGTAGATTTGATAGCCTGGCTTTTGAAAGATGGTGATCTATGTCTAGAGACAGACCCCAAATGCTTTGCTTCTGGTGTCTTATAGAAATTAAGACATTATGTGCAATTTAAAAAAAAAAAAAAAATTCTATCCCTACTTCTGAAGTTTGTGAATTATCAGAATCATTCCATCATTCCTTAGAAATAAATAAAATGCTACTCTGAAAATGTGGTGATCATTTGATTTGGTTGAGCGAATTAATGGCTCTAATTAGAAGCTGTTGATGATTTTGAGAGAGACGTAGACGTATTAATAGGAACGACTTGCTGTTATCAGTAATTCATCCAATGATAGTCATCATTGATGGTATAATTAATTTACAACTAGATTCTACGAGTCTACAAGTCATAAATGTAACTCCTTGTAAGTGAATAAAAAACCTTCCATGGATATCTATGGGATACTCTATTAGCTACAAATGTGCTTATCTCTTTTAAAGAGAATCTAGCCATTAACATTGGATTCTAGTTCATCTTCGACATCACTAGGAGGCCTGACGTTTGCATATAGCAATATATAATGTATATTGCGAGCTTAATAATCTAGGTGTATGTGAGAAGGCGTAGAAAAGCAAAGCTAGCATATGTTGGACATATGTTGAAAAGAATGTGTTCTGTAACAGACTGTATGTAAGAGTAGCAGCAGTGCCAAGAAGTACTGTCAGAGCTCAGATGAAAAGAACTCTACTCCATTCAGTAACACAGCCGTGGGTGAAGTTAGGAAGCTTTATTTCAGTTCCACTATACAACCTATTAGGGCTTTGTAGAACTGAAACTTGACCATGCTAATGTCATTTGTTTGACATTATCTATTTATGTATTAATGACCTCTCAGTTTATGCTTTTTCTTCCAAATATTTGTATCTTAGGTAAGAGAGATACAGCTGATCCTGATTTCCACCGTGTGCTTTTACGGCTACAACATCTGTATGAATCCGATGAAGATCCGGTCCTTTCCAAGCCTGTGTCTGTAAACCTACAAGTATGTACAGTTTATTGTATGACTGTGTGTGTGTATATATAATATTACATTTGTATTTATATACTACCAACATACACCTATCAGCTACAAAATTAAAACCACTGACAGGTGAGGTGAATAACACTGAAGATTAATTTTACAACAACGCCTGTCAAGGGGTGGGATATATTGGGCAGTAAGTGAACAGTCAGTTCTTCAATTTCATGTGTTGGAAGCAGGAAAAATATGCAAATTAAAAGATCTGAGTGACTTTGACAGTGGGCAAATATTTATAGCTTAACGACTGGGTCAGAGCATCTCCAAAATGGCAAGTAAGGTGGGGTGTTGTTTACCTTTGGGAAGAGATGGCAGCAATATGCACTATGGGTAGAAGGCAGGCTGGCAGAGGCAGTGTTATGCTCTGGACGATTTTCTGCTGGGAAACTATGGCTTCTGTTATTTTGTCATTTACCACCTACCTGGAGATTGTTGCAGATTATGTACACCTCTGTATGGCAATGGTGTTCCCTGATGGCAGTGGCCTCTTACATCAGGATAATGCACCAAGCCACACTGCAAAAATTGTTCAGGAGTGGTTTGAAGATCATTACAAACCGTTCAAGGTGTTGCATTGGCTTCCAAATTTTCCAGATCTCAAGTCGATTCAGCGTCTGTGGGATGTGCTCGAACAACAAACCTTATCCATGGAGGCCTCTCCTCACAACTTGCAGGACTTAAAGTATCTTCTGCTAATGTATTGGTGCAAGATACCACAGAAGTCATGTGTAGTCCGTGCCTCGATGCATCAGAGCTATTTTGATAGGAACGAGGGGGACCTATGTGATTTTAGGAAAGTGGTTTTAATGTTGTGGCTGATCAGAATAAATGCCTTGGGTAACTCCACCTAATACCACCTTTGAAATGTGATGGCGGATTTTTAAGAAAACTATATATTTTATGCAAACGTCAATAAATACTTCTGTGTTTTGTTTTTTTCATTTAAAGATTTATTTTTTTCTTCATAGTCTCTACTTAAAGGATTGGGTAAAGTGGTGCTAGTAGAGGAACGGTCTCTCACCGGAACCTGGGATTTAAGTACCCTGAAGCGGTGGAAATGGAAATCCAAACAACGAAGAAATAAACGTAAGCTAAAAGGGAGAAATGTAGTTATCACCAAATATAATAAATTTAAACACATAAATAATATAAGCATATAGATTGATTGACTGAATGTGGAAATGTGCTATCTAATTTTCTAGCTCTCTCCATAGAAACAAATGCTTGTTCTTGCTGATTGCTCCACATTTAGCATTGTCTTTGTTCTTATGAAGCATAAAATTGTGAAAATATTAGTAACGGACACAAACTGACACAAAATGTTTTATATTTTTGATGACTTAATGGAAAATAATGTAACAAATCAGCAGAAAATACAAATAGGATATTGTCTTGTATAGAAAACAGTAGTGATATTAATATTTATCTTTACCGTTCTGTGTTGTTATACACTTGACTGAGACCATGCATAGCTCTGGCTTTCAGAGCACTGCATGCTAGCTATATATGTTAAATATGAGGCTTATGTCTACAGCTAGATAAGAGAAAATATTGCTTTTCATTGGCCTAAACCACAGAAACAGATATTTGTGCCTCCTTTCATAACTGTAACTTGTGGCTTTTTCACCAAGTCACCATGTGATACACGCTATTTTGCTTGAAAAACAAATACTAATGTATAACATTAGAATGTTCACTATGCTGCTATTCACACGTTCTATGTGTTTGCGTGTTTATTTCACAGATGATCTCCCTTATGGCAATAGGACCGTCAACTTTACCATCAATATTCAGCCCAAAGAGATAAAAACTCTATTTGTTTATTTTGAAACAGTGTCGAAGAAAACTTAACTGGTTTCCGGATATAAATTTAAGATGTTTTTTTTTTTCCATCTGGAAGATTATATTTTGTCAGCACTGTATGGTGACTGTAACACAGTAGCTGCATGGATATATTCTAGGAAATGTACAACCAGAAACGCATGCGCCATACTGGTGTAAAGAAGCCAAAGAACCACATACAGTGGTCAACACTATGCACGTTATCGAATTCATGCAGCATTAACAAACCGGGTTAAACATCGTGGCTGTCAGTGGAACATTATATAAGAATATACTCATGTGTATATATTGACCATGATGATAACAAACCTGTGGAAAACAGGCCAAATTATTCTAATATTTTTAGAAGGAAATATAATTTTTTACAGATGTATACACTAATATCAAAATCTATGAAAAAGCTTAAATAGCTTATTTTGGTGTAAAATTGTATGGGAAGCAGTGTAATATGTTTTATATAATATAATAGTGCAATATCATACCTCATTGGAGAGCAGTAAGGCATCACTGTTTATCAGGCATCACATATATCAGTGTTTACATAAGGGATTTGGAAATTGCGATTTTTGAATTAAATGTTGCTCTCTACTTGTTAGTTTATTGGCTGTGCTTTCTGGGCGTTTAATCTTGACAATTATTGGTACCAAAAATACCAATTGAACCAAAAATTGAACCAAAAATTGTTTGAAGTGGATAGGTTTATCATGCTGCACAAAACAAAATGACTCTTAATTTGACGGTACATGTTCTGAATTTTAAACTTGTACATTAATAAACTATTTTACTTTTCTACTCATTTTGTACTCTTCACTGGGAATCAACGCCTACAGCATTAGATGGTGATTTATACTTTTGTTACTAATAGAGAAGTAAAGTTGGAACCCAACAGAATGTTCCTGCCTGGCAAAAGAGCTGATGGTAAAATATTTAGTGATAATATCTGCTGATCAGTGTAGGACCCACAGGTGTACTTCAAGTATAAAACTTTAAAACCCAAATCTCTTCATCTTAATTAAATTAAATTATTTTATTTTGTTGCATATATGCTGTCCCTGCAACCTTGCGTTTGTACTGTGTGGGTTCTGAGAAGTGGCAAGGTTTCCATTTTGCAGTTTTCACACCTGCTTCTGGCTGTCAGACTGTCTTATCTATTCTAAAAATTTCATAAGGATTCCACTGACGTGGACATGGGCTATTACCTGCAAAATAACATGCCCAGTCTCCAGTCTGATATGGGGGATTGGAATTGGGGTTTTTCGGTATCTATAGGCTTGGAGACTACTAGCCAGTGGAGTGGGAAGTTAAGCATTTTGGATGTGGTTACTGGGAATGCTCTTGTCCTATTTAGTTGTAGTGAGTGGAGGCAAAGTGGATTGTTAATCCTCTGGACTCATAAGTATTAAGATCATAAGAGAAGGTATACACTGGCTAAATTTTATTGGGCTGGAGGGCTCCCTAAAATATGTTGTTCTATTGCTATTTTTTTTATTTTATCCTGTGTTGTGGGAGAGCCATGCTTTTTTAAATATATTCAAAAAGCTGGTGAAATTTTATTGCCTTTATTGCATGTTGAGGTTTCATGGTTATGCTAGATATAGGTTTAACAATAAAATAATGGCTTTAAGCTTTGTAAACTGCAACAGCATTAGTACATTTTGAATTCTATAGCGGTTACTAAGATTTCCTAGAGAGGAGTTTTGTTTCAATTGAGGACATTTTTTTTATACAAAGATATATAAGGCAGTATATAATATTTTGGAGCAAATTTGTTTAGCTGGAGATCTAACTCTGTCTCCAAAACTGATGCATTCATATCTGACAACTAAGTGTGTATATATGCGCATTCTGCATACATACAAATATTTCTTCCTGCAATGCATTATAGTGTGTGAATGCATCTGCGTAAACACTTGTGTGCTTCATTACAAGAATGCAGGAGGAGTGCGGTATGTAGAAACTACATTGGAGTGTGCAAATGAGAGTTCAGTGTAGAGGGGGCCATAAGGGTTAGATTTAAGTGCGCTAGAGTCATGGTAAAGACAGAGCTGCAAGATAGAGCTCCGCCCGGTCCTCCTCTCCCTTCCTAGCCTCATGTCTGTGCAAGTGGGCCGGTGAGGGCGATCTTTGCTGTCCCCACCGGCCCTTCATGGAATACTGCAGGGCCGGCGCGCAGATAGTGAGGGCCCTGCATGGACCGGCTGGGGAGGTCCTCTGACCTCCCCTGTCGGCCTCTGCCTACGGTCATTGCAGCCCACCGGTGTGCCCAATGGCCAGTCTGGGCCTGTGTCCTAGCATTTGGTTTCAGATTAGAGGAGAGTTAATATCGGAGTTAGATGAAACAGGGTTGTTTTGCATTAAAAATGAAGAACGAGACAAGAATTAAAGTTTTGGGGGGGAGGGGTTCCAAAAATTTTCAGATTTAGTGCAGCCCATCACCAGAAGAATTGAAATTACACATGTGAAAATAAAAACACAGAAGCATAGAATGTGACGGCAGATAAGCCCATCTAGTCTACCCAATTGTCTAAATACTTTCATTAGTCCCTAGCCTTATCTTATAGTTAGGATAGCCTTATGCCTATCCCACGCATGCTTAAACTCCCTCACACTGTTAACCTCTACCACTTAAGCTGGAAGGCTATTCAATGCATCCACTACCCTCTCAGTAAAGTAATACTTCCTGATATTATTTTTAAACCTTTGTTCCTCTAATTTAAGACTATGTCCTCTTGTTGTGGTAGTTTTTCTTCTTTTAAATATAGTCTCCTCCTTTACTGTGTTGATTCCCTTTATATATTTAAATGTTTCTATCATATCCCCCCTGTCTCGTCTTTCCTCCAAGCTATACATGTTAAGATCCTTTAACCTTTCCTGGTAAGTTTTATCCCGCAATCCATGAACCAGTTTAGTAGCCCTTCTCTGAACCATCTCTAAAATATCAATATCCTTCTGAAGATACGGTCTCCAGTACTGCGTACAATACTCCAAGTGAGGTCTTACCAGTGTTCTGTACAATGGCATGAGTACTTCCCTCTTTCTACTGCTAATACTTCTCCCTATACAACCAAGCATTCTGCTAGCATTTCCTGCTGCTCTATTACATTGTCTGCCTACCTTTAAGTCATCAGAAATAATCACCCCTAAATCCCTTTCCTCATTTGTTGAGGTTAGGACTCTATCAAATATTCTGCACTCTGCACTTGGGTTTTTACGTCCAAGATGCATTGAGCACTTCTCTCTTTCTACTGCTAATACCTCTCACTATGAAACCAAGCATTCTGCTAGCGTTTCCTGCTATAGGCTTTCACCAAAGGAGGAAAAATGAAGCTGTATTATTTTATATTGTTTTATATGGAAAATTTACCAGCATGCATTATTTATAAAAGAACACTTAAACCCCTGTGTATCCTTTTATTTTCATTTTAATAAAAGTGCAGATTTCAATAAAAATTGGTACTTTTGTAAATTAACCTTATCCCACCACCAATTGTCAATCAGACAACCAGTCCTGTTACTTGCTGTTTTTTTTTTTAGCTCAGTGAAGTTAAATTAAAGAGGCAGACAATTGCTCAGAACACCTACCTTGCAAACACTTCTCATTAAATGGACAATAATGCTCTGTCTCTGTGCCCTTAGCCCTTCAAAGTTACAAAGTTTCAGAGAAACTGCAATAATTGCACTGCAGGGTTAAGACTGCCTTTAGTGGCTGTCAATCAGACAGCCATTAGACGCAGTTCCTGCTAGCTAAGCGACTTTTGGTCGCTTAACTGATGCTTGACGTCCTTACACTCTGCATTAGGAGATTTAACGTCTAGAAAAGCTCCATAGGAAAGCATTGCAGCAACGCTTTCCTCTAGGAAAAGCTTAATGTGTTACGGCACTCGCTGCGCATGCGCATTAGTACGCCTCCCAATCTGGTGACATTGAAGGGGAGCGCCAACCGATTGCCGAGGGAAATTGACGCTGAAAACGGGTTAGTAAAGTAAGGGGATTTTAACCCTTGCACTGCTGGGGTGGGCGGTGTGAGGACAAGGGAAAGGTGGGGGCCGGAGGGAAGTATTGTACTAGGAATACAGATTTGTATTCTTAGCACTATAGTATCCCTTTAAGTTACACTGGAAAGTCTGTGGTTTGACATCCACAGAGTCTGGTTGCCGTTAGAACGGGGAGACAAGATCTGCAGATTTTGCAAGCTGATTTTTAGATATACCCAAAATAAAAAAAATGCATAATTAAATGCATGTTTTCTTTGCGATGTCAGCCAGCGGTGGGAGATCTAATGCGCATGCGCGGCAATGGCTGCGGGTGCATTAGACCTCCGCAGATGAAAGCATTATTCAAAGTTTTCCTATGGGGATTCTAGAGACACTGGAGGACCTCATGCATAGTGTGAGGACGTCCAGCGTCGTTTAAAACACTTTTTGTGTTCTAAGCCGGTAGAGGAGGACTTCACCCTGCAAGGTAAATATTGCGGTTTATAAAAACTGCAAAAATTACACCTGCAGGGTTAAGGGTGGTGGGAGTTGGCACCAAGATAACTCCAATGGGCAGAAGTGGGTGCCTGGAGTGTCCCTTTAAGCAGATGATTTGGGCAGTGGAGTACCCGTTTAAATAGCTAACTCAATAGTAGTTGGTAGTAATGTCACACAGGAAGGAAGTAATATCATATCATAAATGCACACCATTTTTTGGTTTTCTGGTCATCATTCTGAGCTCAGAAACCCAACACATTTGTTTCTTTACACTGAAAAAATGTTGTATATTATTTTGTTCCATCTCTGTATAGTCTATCTCTGTGAGTATATTTGAATTAATCTTATGCTAATAATTTTTTATTATCTTGTTAAATTGTAACTCTGACAAGAATCATGAGAAGAATGTTTTAACTTTGTAGTAAATGGTTATTATTATTTTTTTACTGCAAGTGTATAGAAAGTGTAATTGTAAAACATGCATCTTGAAAATATATTTAAATTTTACTGCAATTCTAACTATAACTCACTGTTTAGAGAGTAAACCTTAATAGGTTATTGTGTTACTATGCATTAGAGACAATTCGTCTAATTGTATAAATAATCGCTGGCATTTTGGATTATCCTAGCTAGTTTTGTAATTAGATCATTTTAAGTATGTTGATGTTTCTGTAGAAATTGAGAAATCTTTAATCAGTCGTAAACCTTGACATATGCCAAAAACAAAAAAAACTCCCCTCTTTATATTTAGCTGTCACGTATAATATTGTTGTAGACTTGTGTTGTTTATGGCACATCTCCTAAATATCTAAAATTACTGACTGGCCAGCCATTGGGGATGGGGCTTCTGAAATAATGGGTGGTGCGAAAGTCATCCCCATGGAAGACCTTGTGTCACTTCTCTTGAGACTTGGCTGTCAGGGTGCTCTAACATTAACTTTATTTTTTCTTTGATTTTACACTTGCATGGAGACTGCATATATAATATATATAATGTCATACTAAGTGTATTTTTATCTTAATATAAAAATACACTTATAATTAAATTACACACCTATATATAACTATATATATTGTGTGTGTGTATATATATATAGTATAAAATACAAATAAGTAAATTTAAAAATACAATTTAGAAAAAAATTATATATGACATTTTATTCTAACTGTATTTTGATATTTATATATATATATATATATATATATTAATACAAAATATACAAATGTCCATATACAAAATTACATAAATAATTATATAAATATACACAGACTTCAAATATATAAATATGCATATATATTTAAATTCATAATACATAGTTACCACATAAATCTTAGAATTAATCACTCATGATGTTCAGAAGTTGATTTAAGATTTATGTGGTAACTATGTATAACTACATGACTGTTTCATTATTTATCACATTTAGAATTTTGTAGGACACATTATTGCTTTGACTATGTTTCATTTGTATGGTGCAATAGAAAATGTCTAATTTTTTAAACTTTTAATTTTCAATGTTTAAAATATTGGAATTTAATTGTTCCATTAATTACACAAGAATATGTTAATTTAGATTGTTTGTTAGGATTAACTATTTATGATGTCTAGAAATAGATACACATTGGATAATTATGTATATTTGGATTAATCAAAACGAAATAATGACATATAGTCATGAGATTAATAATACAGTGAAATTTCGTATTAGATGATTTTAAATTATCTTTTTAATTATTTAATTAATAGAGATATATATGTGACCACAATCCCCCAGAACACTGTATCTTGAGAAAGCTCGTTTGAACGAGCGAAACGCGTAGATCGTGTTTCTGGCGGGATTTTTGAATTTGGATAGACTGCAGTAATATCGGTCAGTTGGCGTTTCAGTGAG